TGAATATTTTTAGATAAATGCCATGAAACTTTACCAAATTGTTCTATTAATTTGCTATAATATGAATAAATTGTTGAAAGAATAGATGTATCTGATTTAAAAGACTTTAATGCTACAACTATTGGTTCTAAAATATTAATTATCAAATCTACCATTTGCCAAAATTCATTTGATAATATATTATTTCTCATTATTTGATCCATTTTTTGGCGAATCAAAGGGTCTATCAATGATTGTTCAAAAGCAATTCTTGATTTTTTAAGTGATTGAAAACAGCTAAGATGTGTACCCTATCGTATAAGTACTGGTAAAACTAATGTAATCTCCTTGTTATAATTTTCTAATTGAATATGTTTTAATTTTGCTGCTGCTTGTAGATGAGATCTAAAATAGATTATTATTGATTTTGCATTATTAACTATAGCTTTAATTTCATCAAAACATAAAATATATGAGAATTACATCTAAGACAAACAATATTAGGATATTTTTCTTCAATATTTCTCCATGCTGCTTTCATTACATTAGTTATATCTGTAATGACTGCTGAAAACTTTTGGATACTAATAATATCCATTTGTTGAATTATTTGATCTGCAATCCATTCTGCTGTATGAGATTCTTCACCTGAAAAAGCTGCATCAAAAAAAATAGTTTTGGAGTACAAATAATAAAATTATGTACTGAATCTCTGTTAATATTAGACCAGTCATCAGAAACCATATAAAAAGTTGTTGCTTTTGAAATTTGTTTATCTGCTTGTATTTTTACATCTTCATAAACCTCATTCAATAATTCATTAGCAATCTTCTTTCTATTTAAAAGTTTAAAAGATGATCGAAGATATTTAAAAAATTGAATAACAAAGGAATTATCAACAAAGGTAAATGGTACTCCAGCTGAATATAATGCCTGAGCTAGTAAAAATCAAGAGATTCCTATTCTTCTTCTTTCATATTATCAACAAAATTATCTAATTTGATTTGTTTTTTAAATCTATTTTTTTCAATAAGAGGTGTATTTGTATTAGTTAAAGGATATTCTGTGATATTTGAGGGTATAGGATTTTGTATTAGAATGGTTTTTTGTAATTTAGCATTACTTGGTGCATTTAAACACTCATTAAGATGAGCTTGCATTCTTAAAGGAACA